GGCCTTCAACGAGATGGATTGATACGGTGGCTGCGATGATGGGCTCAAGTATAGCAGGGATCGTGGGGCTGGCGCGGGATCGGGCGGTGTTTCGTTCTGCTGTGCATGGGGTCGCTATGAGTCGGAAACGACTCGACGGCACTTAACAACAACAACAACACCTACTGGCTTTGTGGACTTGGGCTAGTTACTTTAATCTCACATAATCTTGATTTCCCATCTGTAAAATGGGTACAATCATACTCCCAACTTGTTAGTGTTGCTAGAGGTTTCAATCTGTTTCTTATAATAAATCTCACTAAGATTACTAAAATTTGGTATAAGACAGACACTGTGCTAGATGGATTACTTGCGTCAGTATTAAACACTCAATAACTCTACAAGGTGGTGGTGGTGGCAGGTGCCACTGAGTTAACTCTGAGTCATAGCAACTATAAGTACAACTGAAGAAGACACTCCCCAGTCCCATGCTGTCCTCACAATCCTTGCTATTATGCTGGAGCCCATCGTTGCAGCCACTGTGTCAGTCGATCTCATTGAGTGTCTTTCCCTTCTCACTGAACCTGTACTTTACCAAGCATGATACCCTTCTCCAGGGACTGGTCCCTTCTGACAACATGGCTAAAGTACAAGACACTTAAGTTTGGCCATTCTCGATTCTGAGGTGCATTCTAGCTGTACTTCTCCTAAGATACATTTGTTTCTTCTTCCAGCATTCCATGGTACATTCAATATTCTTCTCCAGCACTACAGTTGAAATACATGAATTCTTCTTTGGTCTTCCTTACTCATTGTCCAGCTCTCACATGCATAGGAGGCTATTGAAAATACCATGGCTTGGGTCAGGTATACCTTAACCTTCAAAGTAACATCTTTGCTCTTTAACACTTTAACAGTACTCTGTAATGTAGAGTTTCTTATTAACTCCATTTTACAGACTAGGAAAGTAAAGAGGTTATCTAACTGGCCCATGGTCACATAGCTCTTAGAAACAGCTGAGATCTGAACCCAGTAAATCTGATTTAAGAGATGACTTTGACTCTGGTGGCATAGTGCCTAAGGCATTTAACTGCTAACCAGAAGGCTGGCAGTTCAAACCCACCAGCCACTCCTCGGAAGGATGATTGGGCAATCTACTTCCATAGTGATACAGCCTTGGAAACCCAAGGAGGGGTCTCTATGACGGCAGTGAGGTGTTTTTTTTGTTTTGTTTTTTTTTTTTTTGACAAGCACTGGATTCCCAGAGGTGGTTTTGGGGTGTTAAAGAATTTTCCATCAGCCCCCTCTTCAATCTCTGTTGCTTATAATCTCAAGAAAAGTGCTATGCAAATACACCTTCATAAGAAACCTCCAGCCTCCCTTTCCAAACAGATTGTGCCATTGAGTTCTTCCATATATAGAAGCTGTGGGTCTGCCACTGCCACAGACTGTAACATAAATACATCATACAGTATGTAAAGCTCAGTGCTGGACTGGCAGGGAGCCTGCAGTAAGTGATGGTTATTATTAGTATTGATAATACTGTGCTATTGGTGGTTAGCATGTGAAAGGACTTTAGCTGCGTAAAATGTAAGGAAATCTTATTACTACTATTACTACTAATTGTAATGAAGTTCACATGGAACCACCAGACATACTCATTTTTATTTTGACCCAACCTTCGGAGCCTATACTCCCATCCCGACATGCCCTAGTACCCCATCCCCCACTCACGGAGCCCCAGATGTGAAGGAAAGGGGAATTTTTAAGAATCGGGAGAGAGGGAAAAGAGAAGCCCTAGGGAGCCCCTCTTTCATCTCAAAGCAGCCAGATTTCTGTTTTTGCAAAACAGTGAGCTCACTGTGCACTCCCCGTAATAACAAACTTTCGCTGGCCGCCTGGCTCCGGCCATCCTCTTCCAGAGCCGTTCCAGAGGCATTGCCTCACCCGCCTAGACGTCAGCCCTCCCCACACCACAGCTACCCGGAGTGAGTCAAAACAAGGGGCTGGGAAATGGCGAAACAGCCCGCCAGCCCCGGCTCCTTAGTTTTGGCTTGGTTGTTTCCCCCTTTTGTTTGCATTCCTATTAAACCTTTCCCTTTATTAAACCAAAACTGTAGCCACAACCCCTTAGCCAGGCTGCTAGAGAAAGCAAGTAGGATTCTGTCTCCTGGTGTTATGTTTGGTATGCGCACACATGTCTCCATCTCCTTGTCTGTCTCTGTCTTCA